TTTTGAAAGTTATGAGCAAAACAGGAAAGCAAATGATGAAACAGTGAGCACATATGAATGCAGAAGTGCCCCACATTGCACGTTGGAGGAGTTTACAAGTGGTCAGTGTGAGCTTTGTAGGACTCTTCAAGGGCTCCACGTAGGGGCTGTGAAGAGGCTTATGCAGCCGGAGACAGCCCTACAGGCCTAGCAGAGGAAGGCAGCGGGAGTGCAGGGACCGAGAGCTCTTGGGAAAGATAGAAGGTTGGCTGTGTTGAAGGGAAGCTAGGCGGCACGTTCATGAAACAGGTAGCAGTTTGCAGAAAGCTGCTGCTGCTGGCCTTTGCAGAGCTCATTTTGGAAACAGACACCAGCCAGCTTCCTATGGGATACATGCAGATGAGTTGCAAAGAGGGTTGATCCATCAGCTGGGAGAATCTTACCCATGATATGACTCCAAAAGCACTTCACTACATGTCTCCAGTTCACTGTTCCCTGCCTGCCCTGCTTTTTGTGAAACTCCACCTCCTTCTCAGTTCGATCTCATAGACTGTTAAAATGTGTCTGAAGAGAAAGAGGTGCCTGAGCAGGGATCCACATTTCACCATTCTCCTCTTCTGTGTGATATCCTACTGTTTTACATCTGCTCTTCATGCATTTGTTTCTTACTGAAAATTAGCTGTTCTCCAGATGGAGTTGCTCAAGCAGATCACTTATAAATGCTCACATTCCCCAGTCTGTTTAGCCAAGCTGATGGTTGACCCTGTCAACATCCAAACTCTAAATTCATGGAAGCCAGACACTTAGTCAAAAATGTTGTTACTCATTATCTTTACGTGTAGGCCTATGAAGAGAAGTGAGATTGCATGGATGTGGGGAGAGAAAACAATGGTAACATGATGGAAACTAGACAGAAATTTCACCTTCTCTCCTAGTATAGCTGGCAACCCATTGGGATTGTAGTGCTTCTTCCAATTCTGTCTATCCATGGAAGGGATCCTAGTAATGTGAGGTTATTTCTGACTTTTAGGCTGTTTGTCCTGTGTTGAGAGATACAACTGAAGAAGGGACTTCATAATCCACTTCTCTGTTGCAGTGCAGATGTGTGTGGGAACCTGCATTCCTTTTATCAGGTTATTGGAAGCTTATTGGGTGTTAGGTTTGGAAAAGCTCAAACAAGACGACATGCTAAGGTGGCTGTGGCTGTCTCATCTAATACATGGGCTTTCCTGATCCGAAAAGACTATTTAGGAGTAGCCTTCTCAGAGTGTGAGACAGTAGAAGCTGTCTGACTTGACTCATGGGCTTTACAGGGGAGTTAGTAAGTTTACCTGAGGACATTCTGAAACATCATGAGATTTGCTGTAGCTAAATATAAGACACATCAGTCAGTGCCACGCTGGGAAACAGAACTAATGAGCTGTGTGGTATGGAGCTAAAAGAGCTTGCTGAGAGAAATCAGGCAGACTCTGCCATTGGCTTCTTGCAAGATGGCAAGGCAGTCAGGCTTGCCCACTACTGTAGAGCTATAGAAAACTGAGGAAGAAGGAAGAATGATAAGAAAACAGAAGAAAGAATAGGACATTGAAGACAGATAGTCAAAGCCTGAGAGTTTCAAGAGATTACGGAGTACTTGGGACTTTTCATCTTGAACCTGGGATGATTTTTGCTTAAACGCAACGCTCATCAAAATAGCCAGAAAAAAACAGAATTCTTCTAGTCTCCTTTTGGACTGTGCTGTTTGATTTGAATAGCTAGTGCCTACCAGCAATGCTGTAATGTGTGTGAGCCCAAAAGTTTTCTGCTAGCAGAACTTCCCCTCGAGCAGGAGGATGCTGGACAGCATCCTAGTAGCACGGTGGGGCCCTACCAGAGATGTGCCTTAGAACAACTGGAGAGAATTAGCCAGCCGGAGTGCTCCCTGTATGGAGTGAGCCAGCATCAGCACTGCATAGACACCTCCAAGGTTGGTCACTGTTATAAACTCCGATTTGTCACAGGCACAAGAGATTTGTCCCTCATTTCAACTCACCTCAGATCTGGCCTCTGCTTATGGATGTAGAGGAACTGCCTTTTGGAACTTGACCCTATCCCCAGGTAATTCTGGTTAGTAGTTCAGGAATTTTACTAGTGTTTCAGAAATTTACCTAGTCTAGCTACCTCTGTAGATCTTGCTGTTCCTCTTGCAGTTCTGACCTTTAGTATCTTTGCAGCTTCATCTATCAGATTGGGCTACTGGTGCTTTCACCCACTACTTTATTTCCTTTTTGAAGTCATGTTTAGATTGTGAAGTCCTAGGAAGCACATACTCTTGGCACAACCTAAGCACTAGCAGAGCACAGCTTCTTACTGGTACTTCCAAAGCTTAAGGAAGAAAACAGCAATGTGAACCCATATGACTATGTGTGTGGATATGATACCTATTCCCAACATAGGAGGCCCATGTAGGGAGGCTGGCTCTGTCAGTGACTGCGTAAAAGGTGTCACCATCATGGCTTGAAGGTAGGACTTGCCACCACCAATGAATAAGGGTATCTTGTGCCTGATTTTTCTAGGACCCAGTCACTGAGCAACATGAACAAATCATACAAAACGCAACTTCACCAGGTAAAGATAAAGCCTCATAGATCTGAAAGACTTTGTTTTTATTGTCTTTCATCCTTGACTTGAACTAAGGGAGACATCTTGAACTAGAAATAAAAAACAATTAAGTAATATGTGACCTTTGTTTTGAGTCAACTACCAGAGGGTTGGGAGGCTCCGGCTTTAGCACTTGCCTGAAAGTTACAATATTTCAAGGCAGCACCTACAGAACATGCATCTCCCTGTAGAAACTGGTTTTGCTGCTACAAGCACGTTCTTGCTCATATGATTATCTGCTTGACAGTCCTGGATTTGTTGCACCTAAGAGGAAATACCTGATTTGTTTTGAAGGTGACCAGCAGAAAAAATGAAGACTTCATTTATATACAGAGAACTTCAATTAATACATCACATTTATTTTTAACTGGAACACCAATAGATTTTACTTACACTACCCTACAGCAGAAACACTCTACACACACTTTCTGGAGTTAGAAGATACAATAGTACAGGTGTAGAAGATGAGATGAAATCTTTCTGTACTAATATATATATATATGCTAGGAGTGATGCTATTCAGGCCTAGGTGTACTTGGGACCTTTCAGACTTCTCTAGATTAAGTTATTGGAGTGACAGTCCCCAGGATGTCTCCTCTTTATGGGTACAACCATAAACTTCAGATAGTGCTTCAAATGTGCCACTTCCACAGAACTTTAGGGAGCTGTGATTTTCTGATGATAGAAAGACCCAAAACAACTTCAAAATATTACTTACATTTCTGGAGAACAGAAGTCACTGAAAAAGGACAAAACAGTAAAAGGCCTGCATGCAAAATACTCTAGTTAGCATGTTCTGTTGCACTTTTGCAGCCCATAGTTATCTAAGCATCCCTACTTTGGGGAAGAAAAAAATCAGTCCTTGCCTCTCCTATTCTATTCCTTGGAACAGACCTTCAAAGCAGACCAAAGCAAAACTGTCCTGCTGGACATGTTTTGGGCTTTATCAGAGGCCTTTGGTCCTGTTTTGTCTTTTTTCCAACCAGTTATCTGAAAGCTTTTGTTTTTGTTCATGCCAATATCAGGAACTACCATTCTCAGACTTAACTCTTCCTTAGCACTTTGCAAGCAATGCAGCAGCCATCAAACAGACAAGAGAGTCCGTAAATGAGCACTGATAACGCCCACATCCTTCACAGGGAAGCTGTCCCAGGGTTTATTATTATCCCTTGCATTACTTTTAAAATATTGCCTGGAGGCCTGTGCTGAAATCAGGCTTCTAAGCTGCCAGGGAATTTACAAACACTTAGTAAGTCACCCTCCCTGCCCCGGGGACTTTCTATTCAAAAAAGGCGTTATTTTCATTTTGTAGACAGAAAGATGAGTTAGATTTTTGCAGCAGGTTGTCACTGACTTGCCTGATGTCTTACAGAGTGTCTGTGGGCAAATCAGAAATATTTTGGGGAATGTTCTGAATCGCACCCCTGTGCCTTGCTTACCCAACCTCCTTCATTAGCCAGAGAAGAGCTAGGGAGTGATCCTAGTCAGTGGGGCATTTATGCTCATAAAAAAATACCCCCAATTGCAGATAGAATAGATATACAAAATCCCAAAAGTGCATTAGAAGTTAAAGTTGATATTGCGTTCAGTTCCTGTAAGAATTAATATTCTACTAAGAATCATGTTTTCAACAGAGATTAGATTGGGTTTTGCTCTGTGTTTTTTTTTTTTTTCTCTCTCCCTACTGAGGAGAAAAAACCTTCATGGAAAAGCATACAGCTTATTTCATCTGTGTGAGAAAAGGCAGGATGTTTTGCTGGTTAATTCATCATGTGTGAAAAATAAAATGTTGCCAAAACCTACACTGAATATACTTCCTTAAGAAAAGCAAGTTCAATTACTTTAAGCCTCAAGGGGTTTTAGTCACTGCAGAAAAGTCGGTCAGTAGTTTCTATATAGCAGCAGGTGGTGATGCCCATACTTGCCCAGAATATTGCTGCTTTGTTACACTGCATTTCATGTTTAATTTAACATGCCAGTGTCTTATTACAAAATGTTTGTTTCCCTCTCTCTTTTTTATTTTTCTACAAAGAGATATTTGGGGAAAAGCAATACAAAATCCTAATAGGTGGTATTATTTTTTTTTCTCTACATATATCAAATTTTGAACTAGATTGCTTAAATCTTCTTAAATTTCTGTATATTAAGAGACAGATAACAATGAACTGGAAAACTGTAGAAACTGATAACTTCTGATTTGATTTTAACGTATTTATGTTGCAGAGACATGAACTATCAGATAGTACTTTAAAAAAAATGAGGCATCTGAAGTTGGCAACTGTTCGTTACTCAAGTTGTTTAAGATTTTTATCAGTTCTCTTGTTGCTTGTTTTACAAATTCCATCCTGAAGACTTAAACTTCATCCAGTAAACATTCTTACCACTTAGAATAGAAGAATTGTGCCTGCGTCTGCAGGCATTTGTATGAGTCATCCCCTGGGTTTTAGCACAAATTTTCATGAAGCACCTGCATGAGGAGGAATTGGTAGAATAAGCCTTTAATTCCTGAATGAGATTTAAAACTTCTTTAGGATTTTCTAGCGTTTCTGCTCTATGAAGGCAGAAATACAAATAAGTCATCAGCAGTGAAATGTGGCAGTTGCAAGTTTTATTATTTGAACGCTGACAGGTCACTTCCCTTTTGCTTCTTGCAGAGAGGGTAATATTATCACTAGTCAGCACCAAGCATTTGGCTTGTCAGCAGAAGGGCAGGGAAATCAAACACCGGGCAGGGAAAGCTGCTCTGTTTCTTTCCCAGGGAAATCCATGACAGGAAACAAAGGAAGAAATTATAAATGATGATCAAATAAGATAGAATCATCTGCCCAGGAATTTCATTCATCACTGGGTGATGGGAACAAAAGACTTAACATTTACCTGCTCTCATCTTCTGAGAGGGAAGTTAATTTATGAGCCGAGTGCTAGGCCTTTAGCAGTGACTAAAAGCAAATTTAGGGAACAGTTATGTTGGCGGGGGATAAGCGGCACATATAGCCCAGCTCCGTGAGGCTGGAAGTACTCCTCAAGAATCCACGTTTGCAGAGTAGATCCTGGCTAGAATTAACCACTTTTTTCTTTGTACGTGTAACTTTTGATCCAAGAAACTAGGTGCAGCACTTCAAATAGGCCAGCGTGTCAGTGGACTTCAATAAAGCTCTTAATTATACAGCGGTTGGAGAATTACTGCATTGCTTAGACTTGTAAGGACCCACAACCGTGTGAGGAAATCTTTGTGCTGCTGCCAAATAGTTTGTGGGGACACTAAAACAAGCTGTGAATTCTCAGCAAAAGTTAGGCTGAGCTCCTTGCTCGTGAAGAGCAGTAGTGTTTCTGAACTCCAATCTGGGCAATCCTACCCGGGCTCCCAATCTTTCTCAGTTTCCAGCTTTTATGGGGATGCAGATCTGCTTGACCCGGGTATATATTAGCCCTGACTCAGGGCTCCAGTCCTCCTTGCTAGGAATATGGTGCATCTTGGTCATGTATGTTAACCTCCCTTTCAAATACAGTTGCGTGCTTGAGATTTCTGTAAACAGGAGCCAGCAACAGGAGCGCGGACTGCAGGGCGGGTGCTCTGCAGTGTCAGGTGCAAGGGACTATTGTAACCTTTCGTCCAGAGTAGGATGCTCGTACAAATAGAAACAGACAACTGGTTTCAAAGATAGCGGAGTTGGATGTTTCTAATAGCAAGGAAACTTGTGATTCCCAGCCTGGCCAGGGGAGCGGGGAAAGGTCTCACACATTGGCAAACATGGAATGAAGAAACTTGTTTTGGAGAGAGAGTTCAAGAGTTCTGCAGGTTAACTTTGAGGAGTAACATCAAGAAAAGCAGGTGAATGTTTTCTTCTAGATCCCAGCTGCTTGCCACCATGTTGTTTTGTTGCTTTCGGTGAGTCAAAAAATTTCTTTTTCACTGTATATATCCATTAAGTGGACATATAAATCCGCTTACTTACCACATTGGTGTGCTGTGCCGTTTGACTAGTGACCGTGGCAAGAGCACAGTGCTATTCAAGATGAAAGATTTTTAGATGTGCAAAGCCAAAGGTGTTGTTAACAAAAGGGAATCTGAGCATCCACATGGCTAAGACTTGTGTTTGATCCCTTTGAAAATGTTTTTAACAGTCATATGGAAATTTTTAGTCAGCCATTCTCTGAAATAATGATGAACTAAATTTCACATTTTCTGGTGAAATAACCCAACTTAAATCAGGACAGAATTTGATCCATGAGTTTTCTTCTCAGACAGTTTTTGCAATCCCAAGAAAGCTGGCAGTGAGCAGTGATTCTGCTAGATCCTCAGCCCAGGCATGGTGCTGCTCATGCCCTGAAGTTGGTAAGGGAGCACAAATGCCAGCAGCCGGGCCAACAGCACCGTCAGCCAGGAGCATCCGTCCCGGGAAAGGCAGGTAGCGTTTCTTCGCGGTTCCTGCTGTACAGAGTGAATAAAAAAGACCTCCGCAGGGCAGAACTGTTTTAGCAAACTGTCTTTTGATTACCTGTCTCTGTCCAATTTTGGCCCTGTGCTGCAGTTTCCGGGCCTGCCACTCCTTGCTGACACATTACTCGGTCACCTCCGCTTCCATGATTTGCTGCCTCTCTCCCATGTGCCACCCAGCAGCTCTTCTTGGTCAAGTGGGGCATTCAGACAGCCTAAGGAGGTCTCCTCTGCAAACAGGAACTGTTCTTGAGGACAGATAAAAATCTACTTGATTTGCTGAATATTTTTAATAGATTTCAAGGGTCATTAAAGCAAGAACTATACACAGTCACATCCTTTCATAAAACAATATATACATCTGTTGGTGAGTCAGAATGAATTTTCTTGGCAGCCAACAACATTCAGGAGGTGAATTTGCCAGATCGTGAAGTGATTCAATGTCCTTCCCTGTGCGGGGTGCTTTAACCTCTGCAGCCATGAGGCTCTTGAATAAAGTGTATGGGTCAGACAGCTTTTTATTGAAGAGGAAAAAGACCTTTCCTGCATCCAGTTCTCAGAGCATTTCCTGCTCCTTTCTCTGACACCAGTCGTAGAAGTAATGGGTAAAACTGCTCACACCCTACTTGCAATGGTTTCTGTTCTTGGTGGCAGCAGTACAGCTGGCAGAAAAAGCACCAAAATGCAAATGCAACTTT